ATATTGCTGTAATTTTCGTAATATTGCACACTTTAAAACGCAATATTGCTGCAATACTTAATGCTGTAGAAAAAGTTTCACAGAATGCAATGTATAAATTAAAGGGAATCTTACTCTTAGGTTCTTCAATATAACTAGAATTGTTTTAAAAAATGTCTGCTTACATTTTATTTAAAGCTCTTCCTTAAAAATTCCCTGTAAGCACGAAAGTATGCATAATTTAAATAGCAGAGCCAAAAGAAATTAAACTTTATAGCATTCTCTGATATTGTTTTCTTATCAGTTATCACAAAAATTGTCACATTTATTTACGAATAAAAAAGTTCAATAGCAAAAGAAATTATCCAGAACCAAGCCATTTGGCAAACTTTTTCAAAATATTATAATTTTGACTTGCAACAGTACTTCTAACAGTACTCCTAACAGTACTTAAGCTACTATATGTCCAATTCGCAAACCGATTCAAATTATGATTCTTTTTAGTTTTCACTAATGTACTTATACCTGCTTTAATCGAATTAAATGTATGAATAAATAGAATTTTATAAATAAAATTATAATATTAAGTTATATTTCTTAGCAGAAAAACTGTTACTTCAAAATCATATTACAGAATTTAAACAAAATTAATATTCTTATCTATTTTTATAATATGAAATATTTTCTTATAGATATGTGTAAATTTAACGTGATAAATATCCTCTTTACTGTAAAGTGTTATATAATATGAAATTTTAGAGCTATTAATGATGTACAAGATGTATTCAACATGATATTGCTGATACTATTTCTATATTTTGGTACACTCTTCGCTTTCTATGGAGTTTGGATAATAAATGTAAATAATTTTACAAGAATTTTTGTTACACAATCTATTGCTTTATAAATAATTTTCATATACATAAAAATAACGTTATATTTATGTTGTATTGAATTGTAAGCGCAACTTATTTAAATACTTTTTCAATGTTTTTTGTTAATAAGAACGTCAATTCTAAAATTTTTTTATTAATATATTTTAAAAACCTGTACAATTGGAATAATCATAATAATATACACAAGAGAATTCCGTATTTAATATTTATATAATATAGGCTCTATATTGATATATATAATAATTTTTATAAGATGATCACTGTCATCTAGATACATAATATGAGCAACTAAATAACAATCATATGACACCAATTGCACCAACTTAAACATTCTGGATTTCCCTAAACAATCAATGACTCACGATATCCCGTAACCCATAAAGCCCGTTCTCCCCTATATTTTTATTGATATACGTAATCATTTAATAATATACGTAATCATAACATAACAAATATATCATAATATATGTAATCTATCTTTAATAACATAACACACATATGCTCTTATATCTTTTATAACATATGTATATTTTAATCAATTGATTTTAATTAGATACTCGAAAGTAAACAGCACTTAACGTTCTTAAACTTGGCATATTTTGTAAGCATCGTTATCAATACGTTCGGTCACATGTGCATGTACTGTGCTGTTGGTGAACTATTAACAGCTCAGGTATAATTGAATTTATCTCTTTACTTCCTATCAATTATTATATTTTTCCAGATACAATTGCGGATTATAATTTATAATAAATGTATTCTAAAACGAGAAATAGTTGTAGTATTATACCTAGAAAGCATATTTAATTATAAAAATAAATCTTAATAATTGTTTAAAAAAAACCTTATTTTAAAATTACATATAAATTTATATATATATACATATATGTACATTATTACAGCATGCTATCTTAATAATTCATATCTATATGTATGTATTTTTTATGATTTTAAGTATGACAGAATCCACTATGCTGCATATTCCAACAAATGGTATACTTTGAATGCAAGAAATACTCGGAACTTAGTTCTTCTAATGTTGAGAACCAATAAACCTCTTTACCTTAACTTTGGTAAACTATTTCCCTTAACGATGGCTACATTTTGCAGTGTAAGTTATCTCAAATTTTAAATATGATTTTAAAATACATAAGATAGTCTTTTTATATGTATGCAAACTATAAAGTTAATTTAAACACAAAAAACTTTGAAGTGTTTAAGTAAAAATAAAAACATCATAAAATACATTTAAAAAAAGTAAAGAATTTCATGTTAACTATTTAACTGTTAAATTTTTTATAATGTCTAATTAATGATTTTCCGCCGATGTTTTAAATTCACAAATGATTATAAAGATACAATTTGGACATGAATTATTTTATTTTCTTTAATATATTACAAATAATTTTTATAATTAATGCTTAATTTGTACGCATATGTTGTATTACTTATATTTAAAGTTTACATATATTTATATATTATATTTCTTATAAATCATTTATAACATATCTAATATTCAATAATATATTGTGTATATATATTTTTTTTTATATTGTTTTTCTATAAAAATCTCTTATATTTACTTATTAATATATCTTTTGTAGCTATTAAAGACGTCAGCTGGCTACATATCTGTATTACTTACAACAAGGAGTCAATAAAAGTTTTAAAATAATTTCCAAATTAATATTAAAAACATAAATTCAATAATAATTTAACATGAAAATATTAACTAATTAAAAATATATCATTTAAGATACTTGAAAAGTTTATGTAGAATTATTATATGCATTGTCAATAAACACAATATTTGCTGCTAATGTAATATGATAATTCTGTTTATTGATAGAAACTATCAAATAATATAAAAAAAACAAAAAATAGCTTGAATAGTGATGAAAAAAGAAAGGAAAATAATAGTATGACACATCTGGAAAAAAACTGTCGCATGCAATATTAAGATTGAAGATAATAAGTAATGTGTTAGTTAGATAAATCAAAAAATATAAAATCCAGAACCAAAAAATATGGATCAATGGATCAGGCTATTGAGAGTCAAACGTGGTTCTTATTACGTAATTGTCTATTTGTTCATAAAAATCTTGAACGTTTCGACTCACTTTGGAGTCATCTTCAGCATACATAATCTCTATATATTCTTGAAAGTTGGAGACAAAGTCACCATCAAATTAACTGATTTGATGTACAATTTCAACCTTCAAAGAAACGTCATTTAACAAATGTTTTAATATCACAAATTTATCATTTTGGAATCAATTACAAATTGACATTTACAAAGTCTTCACATACAAGTCTTGTAATTGATTCCAAAATGATAAATTTGTGATATTAAAACATTTGTTAAATGACGTTTCTTTGAAGGTTGAAATTGTACATCAAATCAGTTAATTTGATGGTGACTTTGTCTCCAACTTTCAAGAATATATAGAGATTATGTATGCTGAAGATGACTCCAAAGTGAGTCGAAACGTTCAAGATTTTTATGAACAAATAGACAATTACGTAATAAGAACCACGTTTGACTCTCAATAGTCTGATCCATTGATCCATATTTTTTGGTTTTGGAAAGTAAGAGAGTTCGTAAGAAGATTACAATTGGATTTGATAAAATCCAGAGTTATAAAAAATTATATTTTTATATTATATACAGTTATAATATATCTTATATTTAATTTAATATTACTGAAATAGAAATTGTAAGCACGAGCGTAGGTATAGCATGATGGACAGAGAGCGCGGGAGTCTATAATACCACAGTACATAGAAGAATTCGGGTTTAATCCCCCGAAAGATACCTATCATGGAACATGTAGAAACAATTTCCGATCAAAATTATTCCGTTTTCTCTTTAAAAAAAACACACACAAAGGAAATCTAAAGAATAATTGAATAATTTCGTTCGGAATCTTGTACGACTTGTTTCATGTTGGGTGCCAAGATCCATAAAATTTTCACACACTCGTAACTCTTCTTCGGCGATCTAACAAACCATCAAAGTATTCATTGCCAAGAAAACCTCTCAAACTACCGTCCGAAGTCAGCGTTAAATTATTATATGTATGTCTGCGTAGAACCTGTGTGCGCACGAGGAGTAATACGCACGAAAGGTATGATATGTAGGTCCTATTCCAATTTTGAAATGTCGCGCCATCAAATAAATAATAAATGATAAAAATAGAAAAATCTTGATGGATTGTATAGACAGGATGTTTTTGTTGTCATATCCGAGATTTCATGCTAATAATGTTAATGATATTATAAAAATATTATTAGATAATGACTATCCGTTAAAGCTTATATTTGGCTTATATTTATATTATTAACATACGCATAAAAACATCAATTAATCGTAAAACATTAAAACAATCAGAAAATGATAAAACTAAAACAGAAGAATGCAAATGGTTTATAATACTGTATTTCCTTTGTTCTTTGAAAAATTTTTTTAATTGAATAAAAATTATAATGTTAAATTATCATTTTTTAGTGTCAATAAACTGGACAGACTCATTAAAGCACAAAAAGATGTTCTTCCACACGGTTCAAAAAAGAATGTGGTTTACAAAATTAATTATAAAAAAATTTAATGTTTCGTATGTCGGACAATCGGAACGACAATTAAAAACGAGAATTAATGAACATCGTAACAACATCAATAGAATAATAACTTTACGTAAAGTTATAAGCATTACAGTTTGTGATTTTACGATTTTACGATTTAGTAACGCACATCTCGTGTATACACACTTTTCCCATTTAAGTCACAAGCCAGTTATGTGCGTTAGTCAGTATACTAAAAACAAAAAATGTAGATCCTTATAAGAAGTTGTCTTAAGATTATAAGTCAGCTATTCTGCTAAGGCCCTAAAAATATAAACAGTATCTTACTATCATTCTTAATTCAACATCACATTACTGTGATCTTCATAATAATCTTGTTATAACATGAAAATTAAATAGTATATTAATGCTATTTATATTTATTACGTATCAAAATGTGTACAGCTGTGTACATATTTCGATACGTATATAAATTGCACCATATGTACTCATTACTATACTTCTCAAAGTTTTTCAGGCACAGTGTAAAAACAGATCTACATAATGAGACAGCTAGCGTGTATCCTGGTCACATTGGCGATTGTAGGTAAATTAAATATCAGAAACCTGACAACAATTTCTGTGACTATTTAACAAGTTGCATAATTAAATTACGTTTTTCATTAACTTACTTTTTATTTATATTTATTTATTTACTTCATTTAATTCATTTACTTTGTATAGAAATATCATATGTTAACATATTGTAAAACGTTTAAAAACTATTTTTATAAACAATATATTCGCAGGTGTTTATGGAGATGAACCAGACAAATTAGTAAATGGAATACCCACCACTATAGAGGAAAATCCTTATTGTGTTTCCCTAAGAATTAACAATAGTCACTTTTGCGGCGGTAGCATAATCGATTCACAATATATCCTAACTGCCGGGCATTGTGTAGCCCCTCTACTTTCTAACGACTCTCTCAGGAAATCTGTGATCGTTGTTACTGGCACGACCTATCTCGATAAAGGTGGACAGACTCATAAAGTGGAAAAATTGTGGTACCACGATAATTATAATCCTCGTATATTGGGTAGAAGTCCTCACGACATCGGTTTGATAAAGGTACAAAGCTCTGGAATAAATACTATTATATTAATTTGTGACATCTAATATATTAATAATAATAGCAATAATATACAAATATCAAATGATAAAACGTATTCTGACAGTTTAGTTAATTACTATAAAGTATTTTTAGCTGATGTCTCCGATTGAGTTTGGCCCAACACAAAAATCAGTTAAACTCCCAACAAAAAATGTAGCAAAGAGTGATAGCGTTACGATTGCTGCTTGGGGTTCTACGGGTTCCAATAAATCTGTACATAACAATTTGCAAAAATTGAAAGCGAATGTAATGCTACCAAATACATGCCAAATTTATCATAGTTTCATTATGAAAATTTATAAGAATGAGTTCTGTACTTTTATCACGAAGGGAATTGGACTGTGCAAGGTATATAATGTTATATTATATCTAACAAAATACATTTTATTTTACTCTTGCATATATTTTATATTTAATATTTTTTACTTAAATGCACACTACATTTTGTAACTATTCTTGCTTAATAATAACGCTATATTACACTCACATTACAATATATTACATCTCCCGTATTCTCCAAAAGGTCATATTTTATATTACAATTAATTTATGTTTGTATAATAGAATTGATTCCAAAAGAGTAAAATTTCTTTTATATCGCATGTCTCTCTTTACTTAATTGTTTATAGCAATAATATCGCGAAATTATTGGAATTCTTAAATAATGTCAATTTTAGATTAGATTCAGTATAATGAATAAAATATTATTAATCTCTCAGTCACAGGAGATAATTAATGTGAATTTTTATTTTTCCGTTGTAGGGTGACAGCGGTAGCGGATTGATTCAAGACAGCGACGAAACAATTATTGGTTTGGTATCTGGTGGAAAACCGTGCGCCAAGGGTTATCCAGACGTATATACCAACATTTATCCGTACCTTTCTTGGATCCAAGGAAAAATAGCAGAATAATATTAGTTCTTTTATATCGTATGTTTTTAAAACTTAACAAGAATCATTGAGCAAATCTTTACACTCTTTATTATAATTATTAATACATATTATTTGTAGAACTCTTACTGAATTTTTATTATCATCTCTACAACACACTTTATCCGAGGAATATTCTTATAATAAAATTCATAGAACATGAAAGACATTAACTCTGGACTTCTTTAAAACGTCCGTGAAAGATTTGTGCTGTATAAATAATAATATGTGCACGTATAAGAAAAGCCGAAAAATTATTTCAATTCTTTTTACATGTTCGTATATTGACAAAATAACGAGTTATTAATTATTTAATTAATCATATAATATTAATTAAATTATTTTAATATTTTGCGATCTGCCGACAGTACAGTATCATCGCACAAATTTCGATGTTCTAGTCCGCCAACGACATAATACCACTTAATAAGAATTCCACTCATTATAATATACTCTTAATAATAAATTCATTTCACGAGTATATTATATATATCACCGTTTTATTATATAGAAAAGAAAGAATTACGTAAAAACTTGATATAAATAAAGAAATCATGTGTAAAGCTCTTTTTATCATCACAGAACATAAATTGCAATATAGTGAACGCAATATCATGAATTTGATTGAGAGAATATCAAAAATTTAAATAGCGAAAGATACTTAGGTAAAAGATTAATTTCCGAAATGTAAAAACATTAAAATTTAAGTAAATAAATAATTTAAATTCACTATCTGACATTATAAGTTCTTACATCATAGTTATGTTAATGTTTTAAGTAAGTTTTAAAGTATGATAAGGAATTGACTGTACAGTTCATATACTCAACAATTATTCATATCATTTATGTTTTTATCACTTGGTGGGTGACTTAATAGCACCGTTCGTTCTTTGTAACCGCATTGCTCGCATAACTTTGTCTGACTAAGGCGCAGTTCCACAATTCACAGTTGACTCTCAACCAAGGTTCAACTTATTTTTTTCATCTCTTTCCAAAATTCTAGAATTAAAAATAATTAGATTAGGAATAAGTAGAACCTCGATTAAAAGTTAATCGTAAGTTATAGAACTGATTCTTAGTCAAGTCATTGTAGCAGTTTATATTTTATAATCGTAATATATCCTGTTTTGCACTGTTTTTACATATTTCGTTATTTTGTATTCGATTACAGTTGCAGTAGGTGAGTGAGTTATTGTATTTAATTTTTTCTGTTTCATATATTAGAAATTTCTATAAACTTTCTCATGCTTTAGAATTCACTTAATCTAAAAATCACTTAACGGTTTTATTCCTCAAATATGGAAATTAATGGAAGCTTTATCCGCTGTCTACCCGTGGAATTGTATTTTTTGCAGACACAGAGTTCATATTATTACGAATTGTTGGATTTTTAGATATCACTGATAGCTTGAATAGAGCCCAAATATCCGATCGTCATGTAAAGAATGTAAGGAAAAATTAAATATAATTTATATTGCTATAAAGTTATAATCGAGAGTGCGCGCATAAATTATCGCACAGCTTTTTTACTCCCATTTGCTCTTGTAAATATTTTCATATCGTTTAAATTTTGAGAGTCATATTAAGGACACACATATTATATTTATATTGAAAAGTAATATAACCACAATTATATTATTGCAACAGATAATCCGGGATTGAGAAATAACTATTTAATACTTGTATAATAACTAAATGTGTTTTCCAGCGAGTGACAGTAATACAATGCACTACCCGATGATTTCTAACTACGACACAATTGTACACAATTAAAATGCTAAGTTTGACTGTGTCGTCTTTTCACGAATGCCAACATTTAATATAAATATAAAACGTTAATCAAAGCATCGAATGATCATTTTTTCCATAATAATTTTTTGCAAATAATTATGATAATTTTGCTCACAATTTAGTCTTTTGCTTTTAAAAACCTCTTATATGTTTATATATATATCTATATATATGTATGTATGTATGTATGTACATATATAGTAATTATCAATAATTTTCTGATATTATTGTTTCATCTATGGCCTTAAAATGTGTAATAGAGTACGTACTTACCTATATCAATTATGATAATATAATTGCAGTCAATTTATTATTATGCTATAATACAAACGCTTTTAGAACGTCAATAATATCAAGAACTTTTTTCAAAGGAAAATGTATATGAATAATAAAGAAATCATTATTTAGTCAGCAGAAATTATTGAAACTAAATAATCTTTGTATAATAAGATAAAATAATTATTACAAATAAGGAAATACATAAGAAAACACATAAGATCTTTAAGAACAGAAGACTAACATATAGAAAAAACTGTTACAATTATTTGCAAAAAAAATCATTAAAAAATTCGATTAATCAATGTATCAATTGACGTTTTACGATTCGCCGACGATAGAATGTAAATTTCAACATTAAGAGTGTTAAAATCAAGTGACGGCATACTGTCATCGCATAAATTTCTACAATTACAATCCATCGACGGTGGACGGCACATAAAAATAATAAGGCCCAATAATAATAAATAACTTCAATAAATAGAAGAGCAACGAGCCGAAATTATGAAAAACAAAAAAGTTATATTATAAAAATTATAAACATGACATTGCAAATAACAAACGTTTTGACACCGATAAGATCATTCTCAATGTTAACGATAATTTTTTAATAATACAATATTAAAACGGTAAGTTATAAAGTAATGTATAGTATAAAGTAATTACGTGTTATTTGCTGAAATGCTTGCAACAAAGTAATCATTCTTTTAACAGTAATAGTATTTTGCTAGTGTTGGAAAGGTTGTTCTGTTAACAAGTAGAGTTCGGAGTTAAAATATCTTATTGGAAGCATTTCAGTAGTGTAAAAATCGACAAATAAAATTTAAGTAAAAAGTTGAACATTCAATTGGTGTCGAAACGTTTGTTATTTACAATGTCATGTTTACAACTTTTATAATATATCTTTTTCATTTTTCATAATTTTTGCTCGTTGCCCTTCTGTTTATTGAAATTATTTTGCTTTAATGTTGTTATAACATGATAAAAATTAATAATTTATTAATATTTTGTCTCTCTCTCTCTCTCTCTCTCTCTCTCTATATATATATATATATATATATATATATATCTGTCTATCTCTCTCTTATTTTAATGCAATAAAAATTTCACCAATACTTATTACTGTCCTTATCATAGTTTGCTAAGCGCAGTTTGAAAGTAAATCAACGGAATGAGACAACAAGCATGTGTCTTCCAATTAATCGCATTAGCAATCGTAGGTAAGTTAGACGTTGAAAATTAATTAAATCATAAAATAAATATTGAAAAGGCTCTATTTGTATAAAACAATACCATTATATATTTTATTAATAGTGCTTTATAATTTATTGATACATAAAATCATTAAGGCCAATTTCACCAACGTCGGTTAAGCTAACCGACGGTTAATTCCAATGGAATTATCCAATCGCATTTGTCTTTGACCAGAATGAACCAATCACGGTTGACACTTTAATCGTCGGTTAGTCGACGTTGATGAAATTGGCCCTAAATATATCAATTTTTCTACATTTAAAAACATTAAGAATAAATAATAAATAAATGTAGAGTCTTAGTAAAAAGAATTACTGCATAACACTGAGCCATTTCTTACTGCTAATAGCATTGTAAAAATCACCTCAGATACTTGCCTAAATATAATAAATAATTTCATCAACTACATTATTTTTGTAGTATGAATTTTATTGTTTTTATTATATTATTTCATTATTCTTATTATATTTATTAATTTTCTTCTATTAGCTTTTAAATTATGTATAAAAGCAAAGATAAATTTTATTCTTTTCCACAAAATATATAACATCGAATCAATCTTGAAGCATGAAGTTAGCAAGAATTTTTGTGAAAAAACAATAATAAAAATAATAAAAAATTAATAATAAAATATAATAACTAGAGCCCGGATTAAAGTTCTGAGATCGCGTTGATCGTAGCTAACTCTCCATTTTCAATTCGCCCAAGGCTGCGATGTAGCATCGATAGTGGAAAGCGATGGAGGTGTGACAATATGGTTTTATTCGAAACAAAGAACGGAAAACAAACGAGGAAAATACTAAATCATATTAGATACATTAAACAGTTACTTTCAGATTTTCTCCATTATTTCGAATACTTTTAAAATAATTTTTTTCGACATTTTGTAATAACTTTCTTTATTTATAAAAGTAACACAAAATAAATTACTAAAAAGTATAATAGAGAAAGAATTTTGTTTTTGCAAGACCTTGGAGGCTCTAAGTTGCTTTTATTGTCTCATAAAACAGCTGCTAATTGTCCCACCGCCACGTTCCCCCTTATCGATGCTCTACCCGTCTATCGCGACGGCTGAAGCCATGACAGGCATGACAAATGATAATGGGAAGCAACGTACTTCGATCGACTCAAACGACCATCGACGGAAAATTCAGGCTCTAATAATAACGTTTCGATATACTGTAGAGTTCTCGCAATTTTATATATTCGTAAATTAGTATCATGTCGTATCTTATTAAAATAACTTTTTAAAAAATTAATTATTAACCCATAGCATGACATTTAAAAATTATTATATATTTGCAGGCAGTTATGGCGATGAAATGGCTAGATTAGTAAATGGAAAATCTACCACCATACAGGAAAATCCGCATTGTGCCTTCATAAAAATGTTTGGAGAATACATGTGCGGAGGAAACATAATTAGTAAACAACATATTCTAACTGCCGCGCATTGCGTGTATGATTTATACCATAACTATGAAACTCTATTGAAATCTACAACTATTGTTACTGGCACGACCTACATTAATAAAGGTGGAGTGGTTCATAAAGTAAAAAAAGTATATTACCACGAACGTTATAATCCTTCCGTTTTGGGTGTAAATGACATCGGTGTAATAAAGGTACATCTTTAAAAAAAATTATATATATATGTTTATACATATATATTATAATATTTGTACATATAATTATAGTAAATCATGACATATGTGGTATACACGTCAATTCAATATTCTTTCTGTCACATAAATTATTAAAAAAATAACGTACAGACTATAAATTATAAAATGTACTTTAACCACTTCTACATTTTGGTTTATTAATATAAAATATGTTTTAGCTGCTAAAGACCATTCAATTTGGCCCAACACAACAGCAAATTATGCTCCCAACAAGCAATATCGCAATGAATGAGGATGTTATGATCGTTGCTTGGGGTCGACAGGGCTTCCAAAAACCCGTACATAACAATTTGCAAAAATTGAACATGAAAATCATACTTCCGACTACATGTCAGGCTCGTTATGACAAATCCAGTCTTATTATACACATTGACAAGAATACTTTTTGTACCTACATTAAGAATGGAATTGGAACGTGCAATGTACGTAATATGTTACATTATATATGATGAAATGCTCAAATATTGCATAAATTATTTGATTATATTATTGCATATCTTTTTATATTTAATATATCTCCCGTTTAAATATGAGCACTACATCTTGTAGTTGCTTTTACTCAATCATGACGGTTCATTAACGTCACTTCTATTACAATATTACATTCGTATATCCTGTTCGAAGGTAATATTCTATAGTATAATTAATATAATTAATTTATATTTGCAAGTATAACATTGAGTCTTAAAGTAAAACTCTTACATACCGCATTTCTCTCTTTATTACCTTAATTGCTTATAGCAATGGCATAAACACTATATTTTGAAATTTTACCGTTTTAAATGATGTTAATTTTCAGTTCAGTAGGTAACGAATAAAACATTAGATCTCAATCTTATAAGGCACAAAGAGTGTATACAATCATTTTTTGGTTGTAGGGTGACAGTGGTAGTGGAGTAATCAGAACGCATGACAAAAAAATTATTGGTTTGGTATCTGGTGGAATACCATGCGCCAAAGGTTATCCTGATATACAGTCCAATGTTTATAGCTACAAGAAATGGATCGAACAAAAAATGTTGCTATAATATTTTTTTATATTCTATTCCTTTTTGTATTTTATATTTTTAATGCTTAATAAAGATCGATTATTGAGTAAATGTATATTACTAGAAAATATTTTTAAAAAAGTATATATGCTAAATACATAAGAAAAATACAATAAATTACACCTTTTCTAAAATAAAAAGCTTAATCAACTAATTTAAAAAAATAATTAAAATGAAATATACATACTATAGTTAAGATAATATTTCTAATATTTATTAATCATATTATATTTATATTTGTTATTCAATTTGTAATAATAAATCAATTTTGCGGTATATAATTAACAAATTATCTCAATAATGCTGTCGTTAATCAAAAAGGACTTTATTTTACCTTTTAAGAAAACGTAAAAATATATTCGAAAAAATTGCGGTACATCTACGGTATGTTGTATAATATGTATGTATACATATAATATGTAGGTATATTTTGTGTATTACGATCATTCTTAGTAATGAATATGCACTGACAACCTATTATACCCATACGACATGTAAAACATGGCTATAAGCCGTACTATATAGTCAAACCGTTTAGTATTTCAACTTTTATTTTTAAAATTGACTGACTTTAATAAAACAAAAAGAGATAAAGACTGTTTGAAGCCAAAGTTTAGAAATTTCAAACTTTAGCTTTAAAAACTTTCAAGTTACTTATGTGAGTAATGATAGTTTCGGTAAAGTGATCAATCAATAATTGTACAACAGGATCGGCTTTAGAAGTTTCTAATATATAATAAATAAAGAAGACTCATATTCTCTTTTAAAACAATTGATTCTGTACAAAAAATATAAAAAATTGTAAAGAGATAAAAATAATAAAATGATTAGACACATATTAAAATTGTTTCTTAAACTTATTTCTTTTCATAATTGAATTTTTATAATTTAATTATATTTTTTGATAAAATATTTCATTACTTACTACACAAATGTGCACATATATTAATTCAAATGTACATACGTGTATACATGTAAATTTTTTAATCCGCTCAGGGCACGTACTATGAAATTATTCGGAATTGAAATATTTGATATAAATTCCGATCGTAATTGTCAATTACATACATAATATTCCTCAGATTGCTATTGCGTTTTCTGAGGAAAAATGGAATAATTCCAATGGGAATTCACTATAAACATTTCATAATAAGCGACCAACCATACACTGAAACGTTTTTAAAAACACGTGCGACCCTGCATCAATGCCACTTTTTCATTTGCTATAAAACCACTAAACAGTTTTCCATCTGTAGAGTGAACTATACAGTTATACACTCACCGTAATATTCTCGTTTCAGATGTTGCATTATTAAATAATGGGCTATACACACTTGTTGGAAGGCATTAAAGTTAGGAAGTTTCGTTATATGTACCAATCTAATCGCTCCGACTGATAATAAAACAAGAAAAAAAGAAGTTTATCCCTTCGCAGATACCAGTATGGACGTTTCAAAATATTCAGGATATGTAGGTGTGCACTCTTTTCTTTGACAAATTTAGATATGTTATATAGATACGTTATACAGAAAAATAGCAAGTCATGTAGCACTTAATAATATTTATGAACAAATATATCATTGCTAAAGCCAACGTTTCGTGAATCTTGCCGTTAACTTTATCAGGGCAAGGTTAAGTTATCAATGTACTCCTCGTCCTGATCAATTAAATATCAAGGTCCATAAAAAATTGGCGTTAACAATAGATAAAAACACGGCGATAATCCACAATCCCTCTGGTATTTTTGAAGATAATACCTGTGAAAGCCTTAAAAGCATTTGAAATAGTACTCTACAAAACAGTTACAAAAATACTAGCTAAAATATGAAATAATTATACCCATTAAAAAATATATATTTTATACGTGAATACATCTCTAAACTTATTATTGATGCAAATGAAAATTATAAACATTAAGAAATTTTATGTCAATTATTTTCTTATTTTTACATTCTTCTCTTTACACATTCATACAAAATACACACACACACACAGACAATATATTTATAATATACTCGTATATATGTAGTTTCTTTATACGTAATTTGTTCTTTGACATCTTTTTAATCTAGCTAATAATAAATTTAATTGAAAATTTAATATTTACACAACCGCAAATATATACCACAAGAATAAATATAAATATTTTTTTTTTTTTACAAAAAAATAAAAAGAAAGTGATCTGCATAGAAAAAAAAATAAAAAATTAGGAGAAAAACAAAGAATATAGGTGAAAAAGGAAAGAAAATATTAGGTGTACAAAAAAGTTCTGAGCTTTAGATTTCATACAACCGAAATAACAATTTAAATTTTATATATCTTCCCGCCCTTTTGCGGTTTTAAAGCGTTAACATTTGGCCTTCTAAAATGCCATACGGTTTGGCGTTTGATGCATATAACCTCAAAAATCAGTGTAGTGTTCACGATGGCAATAACAAAAGAGCATATTCGATTTTCCATCCACTTCGCGTTTCATCTGAAGAAAAATTCTGCTGAAGCCACTGCAATGATTTGTGCTGCATATGGAGAGAACGCTGTAAGTCATGCTACATGTAAAAGATGGTATTAAAAGTTTCGCCAAGGAGATTTCAGTCTTAAAGATGAATCGCGTGCTGGACGCCCTGAAAAGATTGAAACGGACGAATTGCAAGCACTGCTGGATATAAACTCTGCGTAAACTGAAAAGGAGCTTGTAGAACAGCTTGGCGTTACGCAGCAAGCCATTTCCGTACGATTACATTCGTATGTATAAAGATTGAATTTTACAAAAAAAAACTCAGAACTTTTTTGTACACCTAATACATAACGATTACATAATATTTATAGCCAATAAAGACATTCAATTTTATTAAAATTTTTACTCGCATTTATCGCGCTATCAATAGATTATGAATGGGCTATCGGATTAAATCGGATTAGCTTAACACTTTTGGGCGTCTGGCCAAGAAACAAAGAAACTAAACAGAACAAATTAATTTCAAACATCCGTACATTACTTGTATTAAACATCTCAATATGTGCCTCATACATTCCCTCTTTACATTCTTTGTCTAAAATTTGGGGTGATATAATATCTATGATTGATAATCTGCAATATACGTTACCGATGTCAGTAGCAATATTAAAATTATGCATTGTGTGGCTGAGAAAAAAAGGTAATACGTAAACGAGACAGAAGCTAGTTGTTACAATTAGTCCTTTTAGTTGCCAAAAAAGACAACACATTTTCATAAAATTTAATATTAAAATAACTTTCAATGATGGGTAAGATTACAAAAAAGCAAAATTGCACTTTTTACGAATAAAAAAAATTTGTTTTATTGTAGTAGACATTTCTTATATCATTTTATAATATTATAATATAAGAATGCAATTACAGAAAAATAAAAAAACGAAAAAATTAATGAATTGCATATAATGAGGTTTATTTATATATATAATCAATACTAAATAAATAATTTGTAGTACTTAGTGACATTTACATTGCATATTAACAAATATGGCCTGCATACTCATCGTGTCTACTACTGAAAGTCATCTTACACGCAGTCATTGCGTTTCCTTATTCATTTAATAAAAAGTATTGCAATATGAAAAATAAAGAATATTAGTATGTTATTCTATATGTTTTTAGCTACATTATACTGTGATTTTATACAGAGAAAGTAAAAGTATTTACTATACTTATGTTATTCCTTACAAATTAGCATTAAAAAATTATATATGAGTCCATTTAAAACATATTTCTTCTTATATTATACACTTCTATGGCCATATATTGAAATCAAACTACAAGTGATGATTTGTTATTATCTTAAGCTTTTGTATAAATTTAGTATTAGCTCATTATTTGTTATTAGCTTGAAAAAATTACAAATTATATTACCCGCTTCGTCATCTTACCCTCCTTTCTCCTACACATAAATTCGAAAAAAGGTTCTAATAAAAAATTGTAACAACTAGCTCCGTTCTACGTTACATATATATTTCTGTAAATTATATACTAATAAAAAATAGTTTGTTTTCCAATCTTATTATCTTAATTTAAAAAGTAATATTCTATTCTAAGCTTTATTATAATATGTGTAACCCTGTCATTCTCGATAATTACAGATGTTCTATTCCTTTTAAACATGGTTAAACACGATTGGTTGAAACCGAAAATGATAAAAGAGAGACATATTATGATAAAACGAGCGCGAATAGCACGTATATTTACCATATTCGGATACTCCATGATGTTGGTATCTTTTAATTTGTGTGCAATTCTTCCTATTTTCGGTATTTCCATAAGATATGTGACAAATGAAACGGATTCAGGCAAATTACTGCCACTACAAACATATTACATATATGATCGAGATAAAAGTCCATATTACGAAATAACTTATATCATACAGAGCCTCGGATTGTCAGCATTAGCTTTAATGTACACTACTGTAGACAGTTTTTTAGGTTTATTAGTTTTTCACGTATGCGGTCAGTTGGAAAATCTCAAAACACGCATCAATCAGCTGGATAAGTTCCAAAATTTCGAAAATGCTTTATCACACAGCGTACAGGATCATATACGTCTTATCAGGTTACGAATATTATTGATTTTTTATAATATTTTCTGTGTTTTCTATTCTTATCTAAATTAAATAATTGCGAAACGTCCAAGTATCAAAATACATTAAGAGAGCTTGTGTATCATAGTTTTAAAATATATGAACAAAATTGTTAACATGCATATAGTATTTAACATAATTTAAGTAAATATACCTTACAATTCATCAGTATACCAAAATTTACAATCAAACTGTGTTATATGTAAATATACAGCTTCTTATTTACACAGTACAAACGAATATTAAAATTAAAAAAAAAGTCAATAACAAACTTAAACAGACACTTTCTTTACCTCTAATTTATACAATCAAAATTGTTGAAATGCACATAATATCTAAGATAATTTAAATAAATACGCCTAAAACATA